ATACTTAATTTTTGATTTTTTTTTATTATATTTTTGTTTTTGTGACAAATATTAAGACATTTTAGAAAAATTAAGAATATGTCAAAATGACATTGACATTTCAAACCGGAAGTTGCTTATATCTCGAGTAATATTGGGATTAAACGTATCATGTTTGGACTCATTTTAAAGGATTTTTCACGACGATTACAGATATGTCAACGTTGACATTCTTAACCGGAAGTTGACCATAACTTCATGAATATTGGAGATAAATATGTCGTGTTTGTACTCATTTTAAAGGATTTTTAATGAAGATTACAAATATGTTAAAATTGAGGTTGATATTTTACACCGGAAGTTAGTTATCATATAATAGAAGTTTTATAATTGAAGTTAATCTAGTGTTAGTCATTTTTCCGCACTTTCTTTTTATTTTTAACGTGTTTTTTTGGTCATTTCACATTGATTAAAAAAATCATCGATTTTTAAGCTACATTTTGCTAAAAAAGAGTGCTTAAATTTTAACCTGTAAACTTGTAATTTCATTTTACAACTTTTTAAACTTTAATTTTGTAAATTAGTAACTAATAATCTGATTTCGACTTTGATATGTGAACTTTTTTAACAAAACAGAAATATTAAGAAACTTGTTTGTAAAATGGATAAAATGAGAGTCTCTGAAGATGGCCAAGGGCCGAAACTGGTTAGACTTAAATTCTATATAAAATAAAAACCAGTTTAAAAGTACAAAATCAAACTCTACATTAATTCTTCAAAAATTTTTACACGGATCGTCATCATTTTGTCTCTAGTTTTGGTGATTAAATTAAACAGAAACACCCTGTATAATTGTAAAACGTAACGAGTGACCAAACGGCTTCTGTGATTGTGATAAAAATGGACAGGCACCAAACAATTTTCAATAGTTTGCGCCTTGTCTATTCTGAGAGGTCTTATATTTTTGGAGAGATGAAAACGAAAATCCCGTTTTTCTCAACATTATTCATTTATCGCTTAGTCAAGTGATGCATAACTCGGTCCACTTAAGGTTGAAACAAAGATTGACAATGTAAGGCAAAAGTTATATTGGTTCTAAAACAGATCCTAGGAGTATTTCTGAAAGTATCAAGTACAACGGGTTTACAACTAAAGTACATTCTTATCAAATTTTGTATGTATAGCACCATTTATAATTTGACTAAAATTGAAATCTCTTTATTCGTATACTTATAAAAAATCAAAATATAAATATTTGATTTAAACCAAAGATCATTAAAAGATCAAAAATAAAGCTTTTATAATCAAACATCGTCCGTTGTAGAAAATCCTTTTAAAGATCGCGTCGCACAGATAATCGTAACAAAACCAATCCCCATTGGGGCCCAATGAGCGATAACGCGCCCCCCCATTTTTACCATTGACTCGTGTGCAACGGCGCTTTTGCACAACGCTAATGGCTCTCCGAAGACCATTATATGCGCGATCCCGTCGGTTTCTTGCTTGTAATGGGGCCTCGTGCCGCCACTCGACTTCGACTCTTCACCCATTGTCCGGTAGTCTCCAAAAAAAAAACCCTCACATTCAATACAACCTCAAAATCCTTCAGTTTTCTGTCTTTCAAGTCGACGTTAAAAAAGAAAAAAAAAATAAATTTGAATTAATACGATAATTTATAAAATTATTTGATTTCGTAACGATTACCTTTGGGTCAGTGACTTCTTCGTTTTAAATGCGGCGCGAATGAATAGGTCCATCATCAAAACGGGAGCGGTTTTGCGAACGTAATAGGCTCGTTAGGCTGGTTTAGTCTCGCGCAAATTGCGGCCTTCGACGCGGCAGCATCAGCCGGGGGAGTCCCCGCGTCGATCTCCTCTCTCAATTACTGCCAATCAGTGCGGCGTTTGTACACCGACGTGCTCATCTCTCCCGGCCTTTAGTTAAAGCATCCCGATAACCACCCCATTTAACGATGCAAATCGAGACACAAACTTCCTACTTCACCAAACTCTCTTTATATCATTATTTCACTCTTTCATCGTTGATAAAGACAAATTATAAAAGAACTAAATAAATAGGTTTAAGAGAATGAGATGATAATGATTTGTGACGGTTTGTTTTTGGTTTTGATGGTAGCATTGATATTAAATTATTTTTATTAATACGTGGATGGCAGTCTTCGTAAACACACCTCAATATGCAACTTCGGAATAGGTAAACAGCTCAAAGGCCCGTTCGTGACGTCACCGCTGATTAACAATTGACATTAGAACTAATACTAGACTTAGAAACATTTGAATTGAGCTATATTTTTTATCGATAGCTTCAAACCTTTTTATCTTCTCTTCTCCCGAAAGGGCGACAAATGTTGAATACTCCCTCGATCGATAATAAATAGTATAATCATTTTTGACATTTCTTTCTGTGCCTAAACATTTTGTATAATCCACTGCATTGGAGTCAAAGGGATATGCTTTAAATCAAGTTATTAATGTTTCCGGATGTATAACCCCAATTGCAGCATCCAAAATTGGTGCAAATATAATTTTGGTGATTACTTCGCTTGGTTGCACGTCGTACCACTTTCGGAATTCTTTTCTCCATGCAACTTCACTACATCTGCTAATTGAATTATTCTAGTTGCGGATTCGCTTGCGGCGGTTACTCCTTCAGAGGTCCTAAATGTAATATCAGGATGACGTTTCAAAAATGTTTTGAACCCACCGATTCCTGGTTTGTTATTTGCTGAGATTTTTCCTTGGATTTTCTTTCGAAACGTTCTGAACGTTTAAAAATAGCAGTAAGAAAGGCTTTCGATTCTTCAGAGTACCACGAGAGAAAAAAAAAAGAAAGGAAATTTGGCGTAATTTTATCAACACAACGACATAGTTTTAAATTTCCCGCTTTGACAAACCGCGGTACTTTGATAATCTAGAGACTATTTTTGTAAATAAGTGGTAATATGCACTGACCAAGGTTTGTAAAGCGAATTATATACAATATTGTATACACGACTAAGAAAAAAACTTTCAGGTGTTAATGTCAACTTTAATTTTATTATTATATTCGTAATCTTTATAAAATAACCTTTAAAATGAGTCCAAACATGACGCACTTATCTCAAAAAACAAAAAAGTTAGAATAAAAAACATTAAACCCGAAGTTAGCAACAATGAAGATAGCAATTTAATTTTTAAATATTAATACCAACCTTAATTTTTTATTTTTTTTATT